CACACAAAAAGTATGTGGATTTTTTTTCTCTTGGAAGAAGATGAGGGGAAAAAAAGAGCCTGGAATTTCTTCTGGAACATATACTGTACTTTCAGGTGCCATCTGTGGACTATGAAAAAAAGCTTATGTTAAAACAAGAATAAAGGAGATAAAGGACAATCCATCACAGTCGTTGCCTGCAGCACAACAGGGATATTCACAAGCAGGTTTGGAATAGTTCCGCCATGAGCACCAGTGGCACATCAGCTTCTCTGCCAGCTATGTCTAACATAGAGCAGAAATTATTTCAACAAACACTAATTTATCTTGCCCCCTATTGACAAAACTGCAGATGCCTTAGCAAAGAAAAACAAATGCCACTGAGTCAACAGCTGTGCTTTGCAGTGGTTTCCATCCACTTTGCTTTGGCACTGTGTGACGAACCTCAGTGGCATTGCTCCTGCTTTACATCACTGCACAAGAACCACTCACAGCCTAATCCTTTGATAAATCACATTTCAAAAGAAATTGATGGTCCAACTCCCCTCAGCATGAGAGGCCAGGCTTCAACCTCCACATTTTTAAATGCTTCCATGAGACTTCAGTGGTGTGATAGAAGAAACCAAAGAGATAAAACCTGACTAGTGTATCATCTAAATTTATCAACTAAAAAAAAGATAACTTTCTCTCTGTAGGAAAATTTACTTAATAAGAACTGCACGTATATGAAATGTGAGAGCAGTGTTTCCCGATATCACCAGAACTACAGGTATATGGAAGGAGCTTCCCAGTCTAGATAATTTTCACCTTCCAATTTCTAACAGTGTTTGGATCATACACTTGGTTTAAAGCAGATCTAGATTGTAGCTGGGGAGTATGGCAGTGATGACTTTCTTCTCCATCAAGATAAGAGATTTTCACCATTTGTTTTGAAGTTTAGAGTCTATTAAGCAGCAATATTAGATTCAGATTTTGGGAAAATAGTGTTCTTGTGAAGTGGCAAGAAGCATAACATGACTTCCTAGTAATTACTTCCATGATAATAAGTTACTCCCTTTTGAGGTTTGCTTCAAATATATGTATTTGGTGGAGCTAGGGAAGTTCACTGAGCAAATGTGCATACTGATGACTGACAATGAAATTTTAAAAGAGCTGTGACTGTTTCTTCAGACCACTTTGATATGATGCAGATATTCCAGGCCAGATCCTTGCAGGAAGATGAGCAATGTTGATTCAACTCTGGAAATTGAAAGACCCAGTGGAACTCAGTCCCACAGACAGCAGGAATTCTCCCTAAAGGTTATTGTATCTCTTAGCAATAAGGATGATACCATCATTCCTACCTCACATCTTACTGTTTGCAGAACCAGGTTACTTTCCCTTAGCCCACCCTCTCCCCCAGTTTAAAAAGTCCCCAAAAATAATTTCAGCCCTTTTCGACTGCACTTTCTCTGTAGTACCTTCAGTATGTTCTCTGTCTTCTCCCTGCCAAAAACACTTCCTGTCCCCCAGACATAGAGAGCTGACAGTGAGAAGGTTAGGTCAGCTGTGTGAGGTTTACATGGAAGCAATTAAGGCTTCTTGGAAGCCGTAAGGCAGACACTGTGGGATGTGATGGGACTCACTTCACACAGACTTTTGACCTCGTCCAGGCTCTGAAAGTGCTCCTTGACCTCCAGCCCATCATCTCCAGTGCTGCTACTGCCCAGAACACAGAGTTCCCAGACAGACCAGGTGTGTAGTGAGAGTTCTGTGCCTCTCTCTGGTACCGGAAATTGTTTGGGATTCCACAGAATCCCAGAGTAACAATTAATACTACTAATTTTTCTGACAGGAATCTAAATGGCTTGGAGCCAGTCATAGCATCAATAGAGTTGCTGCCAACTAGAAAAAGAAGCAAGTCAACCATAATTTACTAGCATTCCTGACTCTTTTTCTGAATTAGATTAGTGCACTTTGAGAGTGTTCAAAGAACATTTGAAAGAATTCAGCTGGACAAGGAACAAGAATTGTTTCACTGACATAATTTGTTGGGATTTTTAAAGCACTTTTGACAATATACCCCACAAGAGGCTAGTAAGGAAACTCAGAGGTTGTGAGGTGGGAGTTGTAGTTGTGTGTTGATCACAAGCTAGCCGGAAGAGAACAGAATAGAATAAAAAGCTCAGTTTTCAATATGGCAGTGATTAGCAGCAGAGCACTAATAGAACTTCGCTGTATTCATGGCTGTCCTGGAAAAGACCTTAATCAGCATGGTGGCATGATTTGCCATATAACTGTTTTTTTAACAAGGAACAATTATTTAACTGAGCAGTTATTTAAGTTAGTCAAGACAAACCAAGGCAATTAGGCAGCACAATGGCAGAGGAAGTTCATGATGGAAAATTTAAAATAAAGTGTGTTGGAAGGATATTACTAACACACATTGTTGAATTTTGAATTAACAGTAACCACCCAAGAAAATGACCTGTGTGTCACCTTGGAGACCTTAATAAAAACATCTGCTTAATGTGGAAAGGCAGTCAAAAGCAAATGCAATGCTACCACAGACAGAGAAAGGGGTGGGGTCCCATCAAACCTGCTCTGGCCAAGACTGCCCAGAATGTGCAGTAAACGGAGACATGTTCTCACTCTGCTGCACAATTTCGGGGATAAACTGGATGCTCCCCTGGAGGAGAGGAAAACATTGAGTACCTTTGACATTGCTTCCCCTTCTCTGCCCCCAGCTCTCTCCTAAAGGCCTTCCTGTGGCTGCAGAGCAGCTGTTCCCAGGCTTTTTGCTGTTGGAAAGAAGCTAAGTTTGTAAAGCATGCCTACTGAAATGCAGTCATTTAACAACACACAGAATTTCAAAAACATGAATAACACCCCATTCACTTCAAAATAACAACAGAAAAATCAATTAAGCAGAGTTTTCCAATACAGTTGTATTGAAAATTGGTCTAAAGGCTAATGTTCCCAAATATAGAGACCAAGATTTCTTTTGTTTTAATTCCATTACTCAATAGTCTGTAGGCTCAAAAACTGTGAATACTTCCTATGTTGTGATGAAGAAAGATGCCCACCACAGGGTGGCAGGGCTCATGAATTTCTAAAAGCCTAAATTAAAAACATCAAGCACCCACAATACACAATTAATCACCAGGTTTTGTCTGTGGGAGTTCTTTGCACCACCTCATAAGCATAATCCCATAATGGTAAAACATTCCATTGCCTCAAATTACACACTATTATTGTGCATGTAAAATCTTATTCTCTTTGCAGTGAAGGTGGGGACTAGAAGGACTGATAGAACAAGTCCTGCCCAAACCTAGAGCATGAGGCAGAAATCAAACTTTGATTATATCTAGTTGAGAATGCATTTTTACTCCGCTTCACAGCACACTAAGTGTTCTGTACATGTCTAAAACCAGATAAGACAAAATAATGCTGACTGGAGGTAAAAAAAGAAAGCAACTGATAAAAACACATAGAATGGGGGAAAAAACTCCCAAACAACCCAAAACCTAGAATTATCTATTTACAGAAATTGTAGGAAACAGGGATGTACTGGAATGAGAACCACATTCATTTGCCATGATTGCTTTGTGCTAGCCATATAGGCCAAGTTTAGGTAACCTGGAGGCACATTTCAAAATATTTTGTCCCTTTAGCCAGGAAAGGCATGGAGAGGGAAGGAGGATGCTTGAATGCATGGTGAGGAGAAGAGGAGGGGTTAAGTTGTGAGAGACTGAAGGAGGGACTAATACTGAACTGGAAAGGAAGACCCTGGGAGATACTGGTGAGTTCTGAGCACAGGAGAAGAAGGAATTGATAAGTAGTCGTTCCCATCAACCTGGAACTGGAAGTACCTGAAATCCCAACTAAAGGAAAGCTGGGCCTAGACATTCCCAGTGTGCTGCATGTAGACAAGCAAGAGTGAGAGGAGAAAGAAGAACCAGTCAACTGTCCAATTAGTATCTGCTGGCTCTTCCAGCAGATTTTCCAAGAAAGTCAATCTGGATCAAAAAAAATCCCAGGGGGAGGCAAAGAGACTGGTCCTGAATGGAGCCAGGATTTATCAGGCATCATATTCTTACTTTGGTAGATAAGAACTGTTTTGGGTGTTGTTTTGTGGGGTTTTTTGTTATTATTATTTTTGTTTATGCTTGTTCACCTAGAGAATGGTTAGTCATCTTGCAATCAATCACACTGTCAGTTCATGTAGGGCAAAGCAGTACAGTGGATTTAGGTTCCAATCCTGCTGACATTTCACATACTGCCAGAATACAGTACTTTTTTCCAGTTAATTTCTTAAAAATTTAAAAAGAAATAAAACATTACATGGCAATTATGCACTACGGTCATAATGTCAACTGTTAACATTTATGAAAACACCAAACTAGATTTATTTATGCAACCTTCATCTGGCCACCACATATAGGGTAGCAATATTATATTTAATTAGATAGTTGAAGAGTTATTTATACACAAGATCCCAGGATTTTTTTCAGTATAATGAAGGAAACTTTAGCTATAGCAGAAGTCCAAGGCAAATGGACTCATAAGGCAGAGAACACAGTTTAAGAGAGTGTCTTAATGATGATCAGACACCAACGTGGAGGATTCTCTTCTGGATTCTGGTACTTCCCATGTAATATCAGACAGCTGAGTTAAATTTGTCTTTCCCAGATGATCTGCAAGTATATTCTCCCTTTTTTAGGTGTCTGATAGGTTTACAGAAATGCATGCAGCTCAAGATCACATTGGGAATATATAGGACTTGTGCTTTGAGCACATGAAATGGTAGATAGTTCTGAAAAGATCTATTTCTAGGCATGCAAGATCAAACCCACACAATCAGTGAAAATTTCTGACCTTGAGACTTTCGTGCTTCTCTTCTCTACCTGCAACACTGTGTTCCATGAGACTGTCTTGTGAAAATTATAGCAGAAATATTTGTGAAGCATTCATAAAGTGTAGGCATGAATGTTAAACAAAATAGGCCAGGGAGAAATGAACAATTCTGGGCTTACATCAGGGATCCAAGGACATTAAATCACAGGCAGAAGAAAACCCTGTATTAAAGATGCTGCTCATAAAATGAAGTCTCTCCACCCTCTGTCCTCAATGAAACAGAGATTCCCTGGAGACAGTAAAAAAAAACATAGTCTTTAATCTCACTGTCTCAATGGATATACAAAAGGTGACACAAAATTCTGACAGTTTAAGTACGTTACTTATAAATATATACTTTATATATAAATAATTTACATAGAAATATATAAATACTTATACTCTAAAAACTGTTAAGGCTTTTATTTATATTTTACTTGTGTGTGATAACATGTAATTTTTTTTTTGTAACAAAGAAAGATGGAGACAATGTTGAGTGACTTGAATAACTATCAACCTATTATTTGCATTGTATTTTACATTAAAATCACATCAAAACCCATGGGAAACAAAATTCCCAAAGACCTTATCTCAGAGCCCCTTGATTCTTCTCAGTCCCTCTTTTTGTGTGGGTATGGGATGGAAATTGCATTGGCTCCATCAGTCTGAGACTGAATTATAACCTTATGGCTACAATAACACTGCAAGGCTTCGCTTCCACTTTTCACTAGCTTTCATAATACACAACAGTGATGAACACTGCTTTTGAATTGCTATCTTCTCTCCTAATTTGTTTTTCCCAGAACAACTTGTGCAAAATTAATTTCCTTCACCTGAAGGCTCTCTGAGGAGGGACTACATTGGAGATCTACATTGTCATATTTCCTGTCCAATGTGTATTTGAAACGGTTGGGTGAGAAGGAGGTACCTAGGATCCAGGTACTGTTTCAAGGATGTTATCACAATTTTATCTGTCCTTCAACCATTAGTGCAGTAGTGTCTTGCCAAAAGTGTGGGGAAACTGCAGAAGGATGAAATCTACGGATTCATCCAGTGCAACAGGAATTAAATTGACAGCATGGTTGGGCATTGCAACTGAATTGTAAAGTCCCTAAATCTTTCATTGTTTCACTGTGTCTCATTGTTTCACTGTTTCTTACTGGACTTTGCAAATCCATGGTTATGTTGGATACCAGCTGCTCTCTGATCATGGAGCAGAAGATACCAAAAATGCTGTATTGCCTATGCTTGGAACACTACCTTTGACCGTAGAATTTCTTGTTAGGATCCTTGCTTTCATACCTCAGGACTGGATTACCTCAAAGCAAACTACACTGGGCACAATCCAAAATCCTACAAAACAGCACCAGAACATCAGCTGCTGGTAGCAGCAATATATGCCCCCAGTGTTCCTTGGTGTGGAATGATTCCTAGCTGGAATATAAGAAATTGATTTTGGCTGTAAGGTGTTGGTTGTGAGTCCCGAGGGCCTGGGTTGTCATGGCCTGAATAAACACACTGTGTATTTTTGGCCCAAGTGATCTAAGGTTGTCTCAGTGGAAATACCCTTGGAAAATCCCTTTTGACTTGAAGGACAGCAGGTTACCCACAGAGTATCCTCTGCTGGCATGCCTCAGTTTTGGAAGGACCCACTCTCCTCTCCTCCTGACCCCCACTGTATGCCAGAAGGAATGGGATTTTGAGGGAGATTTGGGATGGGGATTTTGAGGGAGATTTGGGATGATATTCCTATGATATGTGGCAGGGATAGCCAGAGAATTTACAGCCTTCCTCTTGTGCTTTTCTGTCTCATCAAACACAAATGTTGAAGATACCTGGAACACAGAAGATGCCGGGTCTGTGCCACTGCATGAGCATCCTCAGGCAATGGGAGATGCAAAACCAGTTTCAGATTGCAACCCCATGAACTAAAAAAAAAAAATAAAAAATGAAGGAAATCCCTCTATAGGGAGAGAATACCGTCAAAGAGATGTTTTTTATTTCTTTCATTCCTTCCTTTGGACCAATAAAACTCTACAAACTTATGAGAATTGGCATTTGTTATTTCATCGCTTATGAGCAATGTAGTAATTCCAAACTCATGTTTATAAAACTGTTACATCCTTTCAACATCTGTTTCCAATATATATGAGAGCTGAGCTTATCTTCGTTGTCTGCTGCAGTCTGGCAGTTTTATTTGGGATTAAAATCCTCTTTGAACACACCATTCTGTTGATCTGGAATTTTGGACCAATCCAAAAAAGCCCACCCAGAAATTATAGATCCTTATGCTACATAATGGGTCTATGAACTTTTTAAAGTTCATTACACTGATGGAACAGAATATTTGTCTTTCCTATCACTTTTTTCTTCTGCTGTTTTCCTCTATTATGATTATAGAGTCAGAATCCATTTAATGATGGATGAGTAAGTTGTCTCAGCTATATTTCACACAACCCTATGAACCATCTAGTTTAACCCTAAGTCTGTCACCTCCTATGGAATTATTTCAAAATAAATAATGTGTAGTAAAAATTAATGCAGGGTGGATGATTTGAGGTAAATGGAACAGGTCTGATCATATGAAATTTTATACTGCTGGAAGTTAAAAGATAAAAAGCAGTTTTTTCTTCAAATACTGACAGTTTTCATCATACTCATAGTTATTGTTTCCAAAAGACGTTCAAACATGACATTAATTTTGGCACTAGCTATCCCTACCCCAAGTAAAATTTTTATATAACATATTCATAGAGTCTTCCTTTCCTATCCCCATCCTTTTTTATTTTTTTTCTTACTAGCCACACTGTTACTGTGTTTGCCAGATTGACTGTGCTTATGATCTTTAAGCAGCAATTAAGGAGAAAGGAAATAGAGTTTGCTTCAACATGACTTTGTGCCTGCCAGCACAAATATAGGCCTGAGACTGGAAAGACAATTTATTTAATTTTTTTTTTAAATCAGTCAAAGACTGCCAACATATGAATTGATGGAAGTTGCATGAGAAGCTCCAAAAAGGGGATGATCAGAGACAAAAGGAGTAAGAGAGAATTTGATTTAAATTACTGTAATACACTAACACAACTACTTTTGTAACCACTGGGGATGAGTTCTGACAGATTTTCCTAGTTTTTATTCTCTCATTATTCAGGCAAAAGTCTCACTAACATCTCTCCCACGGTCAAATTTCTGACTAATATTTATGTATATTATCTCTGTGTCACCTTGTTATGGATCACACAGATCTTACTCATTTAGCTTCAGAAGACAAGTATTTCACACTGAGACAGGAGTTAACAGGCAGACCTGTTATAGCCTAAACACAAAAAAGGATTAGAAACATTGTAACACTCATGACTGCTTCTCTGTGCAGCTTTATGCTCCCTTGCATGAAAACCTTTCTTTTCAGATGCAGAACTGCTTTCATTTTACCATTCTGACAAATAAGCATGTAGCCATATGATGGCAGCAATATGCTTAAATATGTGGATTCCAACATTCAGTATGTTTTACTTGTCCAAAAAAGGAAGGTACAACTAAAACCAGTGTTCTGGAGAGCAAGACATAGCAGTCAAACATCACATTCAGACTGAAGCTGTCACAGATTTTGACTATGAAATAAAGCTTGGCTACAATTTTTGCTGCTAAGCAAACAATTCTAATGAATCCAGTCATTCGTTCCAAGACCATTTCAACCTCTTTAAATGCAGAAGAAGCATTTGACAAAACAATTTGCCTTAGCACAGTGGATGACATGGAATTACCTATGCACTCATGACTCCAAAGTAACCAAAGGAAGATTAACAAGTGGAACAGAATCAAAATGAGATCTAGAGGGAAGATGCAGGAAATTAAAACTTTCACTAGCTGACCTAAATTTCTCCAAAATATATCTTTTAGCAGGTGATGAAATGGAATGAATATTAAATACAAGCCAAAATTGAAAAGAGATTTCATAAAAGTGTCATGCTTGAAAAAGAATTCAAATTATTTTCCAGAGAATTCTTAAATTCTCAAAAAGACAGTATAAAAATAGTGGTATGTAAAAACTGCATGGACATACCATCATGCCCATAAGACTTGGATAAATAATTACAGCATCAACTTTCTTCATCGTTTCCTGGGTATTCTCATCTTGTGATCATTGGCTTCCTCAGGAGATCATGCTATTTAGCCTGGACAAGACAGCTCTTTTGAGATTAAAAGTACAAAAAATAGAGGAGGTAGGATCTGGAAGGATAAGGGGACACTGGAAATATATTCCCTTTATCCTCTGTTAGTAATTTACCCTAAGATTTTTCCCAAGGACAGCTCTACTCAAAGTTTAGTGAATTCATTTTTATATCCAGTGAATTTGAGCTCCTATGATTCCAGGGGGAGGAATGTTTCATGGAATAGAAGTGGCATGCCTACAGCTTGGACAGTAAGCGACTCTTTAGATAAATACAGATAAATTCAAACAAAACTTGAGCTCCCTCTAGACTTTAGTTCAGAATAAAGGTTAGAACAAATCATAAGTTGAGAGGTCAGTCCCCTCTAGTACCTGCTGTGTAACTCCAAATAGATCTAAAGGGGCATAACAGTGTTTGAACAACTTTACTCCTCTTCCTTCTTTGTTTATTTTAATAGCTCTCTCAGCCTTTTTTCCCTAATCATTTACTAGTTTGTGCTGTTATTAAACAAGGAAGATTATTCAGAAACAAACCAAAATTTAAAAAAAAATATTTTCACTGATTTGATTTCTGGATGGAAAGAAGCATTTTTTAATTCAACAGATTAAACACATTACAATAGATATTAATATTTTAAGAATGTTAAAGCACAATCTCTCATCAAGGGATCCAAATAATTTCTGGAAACAGCTTTGGTAGGAGATGTCATATGCAGAAGATTAAGGTGTTTTAAAAACCAATAAATATCCAATTGGATTTTGTGTGTCTTGAATTAAGAACACAAAACAATTTATTTTTTTTTTAACAGATGATTTCTTACAGATCATTTTGAGGGTCCACCTGTATTGTCTACTTTCATGGCCATGAAAAGAAATGTAATTCATAAAGAAATGGAGAACAGGAAAAATTTTAGCTTAATATAAATAATTAAAATCCAAAAAGGTCCTGAAAACCACACTGTGCCTTGTTCTTGACAAACATGTTTTTATGTATTTATCAGCAACTGAGCTCTGCTATCTACTGAATGCTAAAGATATCAAGTCATTGATATCCAATGAAGTTGGATTCCACCCAATAAAAAATACTAAAATAAAATAATTTTCTTAAAAAAGAATAGTAGCAACTTTCAAGGAATAAAATTTTCAGTGAACCTTTAAAAGTTTAAATATTTATACAGGTTTTAGAAGGTACTGTTTACTATCAATGTGAGTTCACACACAAAAAGAAAATCATTCAAGTCCAGTAACAGTTCTTGTTCCATAAATCTCTCCCACATTAATATTCTTTTACATAAGAAAGGGAGGTATTTAATATTTTTAATCTCCCATTCTTGCACTACTTACTGGTTAAATTCTGAAAGATGCAGTTTCAAAGATCAGATCTTTCTGAATGAGCTAAACTTGTATAGAAAAAGTATCTTGAAAGAAATGTGGCCTTGCAGATTCATTCCTGTTATCCCCAAACCTCACCTATCAGCATCCTCACCATGTTTTCAGGTTAAAAAACAAAACAAAACAAAATAAAAAACAAACTGCATTCTGCATTTAGGGAATTTCTTGTAATTTTCAGTCCTGCTTTATTCATAATTCAGGGCTACCAGCATGACCAGTGTCTGATCAACAAATGCTTTATCAAAGAACACCTGGAACCAAAGCTGAAGAAGGCAGGACAGGAGAACCTGCAGGGAACCCAGGTGTCTGTAATCTAGCCTGACTTTCAGTCATCCTTGATCTACAAATAATACTCTCAGCTTCTCCAGATCTTCACCTTTGGCCATTAGAAATCACAGCAATGACCCATGGTCATTGTTGGCCTTTGGATCACACCTCAAATATAAGGGAAATTTTTTTGAACAGATGCCAGTAGTACCATGAGAACTGAAAAATACCGATATAACAAGGTATTGCAGTTTCACTGACATGGTACCAAATGTCTACTTCCATATTTAACTAAGACTTAATGGGTGCTTCCACTGTATTCAAATTTTCCCTGTGTATTTTGACCTTTTCTCCTCAGAATATTGCTTCACATTTTCGGTCATTTGGCATATGAAATGAAATCCACACACAGTTCATAGAAAACTTAAACAGAGTTTCTGCTACTTCTGCTTTCATTTTTTTCAGGTTTATTTTTCTAAACCACATGTTACCTTATACCTTGCCAATGTAACTGGTTTGGAAATAATGTATTATTCAAACAATGTTTGTTAGGAGGAGCTCTCTGATAGCTTTCAGCTGGCTAAACACACTCACACAGCATCCTGTTGGTTTCTGAGACAGAAGTGAAAGTCTGATCTGCTTACCAAGTGACAGCTTTGATGCAATATCCTTACAATATATGAGTACTTACGCTTCTGTATTCCTGGTAGTAGCTTTTTCACAGGAGTCCTTCAACTGCCAAAGTTCATGCAGTTCATGTTCACATTCAATTAAAACCCCAAGTAAAATATTTGCAGACAAATGCTGCATTTGCAAGCTCTACGGAAGCCATTCAGACACATTTTCTACACAGATAACAGTGTGGGCTAAGTAGGTAATTCCATGACAAATCACCTCTACTGCTGTTTATTTTGGTAGAAAGTAGTTGCTAAATTTGTTTTCATGCATACAAAATGAAACGTAACTTGATAACGCCTCTACTGAAAATACAAAATGGATTCAGAAAAGGAAACTGCAATTCAGATTTGTTTTAAACATTTCACAAACTGCCTGATTATTTTGCTTTCCAGGGGAAACAAAATCTAATGTGCT